ATAACTGGTTCAAAGAAGCAGAGATAGTCACTTGTAGAAACAGTTGTAGTAATGAAAAGCCAGTAGATAAGTTATCTTTCACCACAGATGTGGAAACGGCTAAAGAATGGGCCATATCAGTGAAGCACCATAGTTCAAATGAATGTTTCCAGGGCATACAGTTTCTCCTCCTCAGTGGATGAGAACACATGCAAATAACTGGCTGGCTTAAGTGAAAACTCATTTCACATGAGTTCTCATAATTCCTTTGTTCTTGTGAACTCAGCTGCACACCGTAAGTACCTGTATTTTTTTCCCCCTTTTCTAAGTGCAAGACCACAAAATGAGTACTCCATGAAGTCTTATGCAGACAAGTTCCCTGACTAATAACTAAGTATACCTAAGGGTTTTAGGAAAACTATCAGATAAAGATGCAAACGAACTGATTCAGAAATAAATATGCATGTTTAGTTAAAGTTTATCTGTCGGTAAAAGTGAAAGACAGTCATGAATGACTGAACTGCAATCATTTATTCAGCATCAGGTGCTAGGAATGACTGTGCTGGGCCAACATAATGGAAAAAATCTTTGCATCTCCCAGAATAAGGCAGAAAGCTTACTCATGAAGCTACTCATAATGAGCTCGAGCCATTAGTCAGAATGCCAAGGAACTTCTGATCACTGTAAATCAGTGATGAAGCAGAAGAATGTGTAAGCCTCATACTCTTCTTTGCACAGGAAAAAAAAAAGGGAAGACACTTCATCAGGAATTTGACTAAAGGGGTTGGTTGTAATTTGTAGAACTGAACGGAAAAGCTGACTTCAAGCAAGAAAGACCACTGTAGCAAATGAAATTACTCCTGCCTCCAAATGAAGCCTTTAAGGTTCACGTATTTAATATTAAAGGAATATAGCTGAAAATAGCTCCCCAACAACAACCAGGTCTGTAGTACAAACATCTCCCTGTAGAAATTATGAAACAAAGGGACAGACAAGTTTCATTCACAAGAAACTTGGAAAAGACCCATGAGAACAATTCCCTAGAAAGGAGTAAAAGAAAACAATAGCAGCACAAAAAATTAACATCTACCACATCCTGCAAACTCCATCAGTCTTTTATCAGATGCTATTTCCACACAGCATCAAAGGAGGAGAGTAACAAAGGATTTGTTTTAAACAGCCTAGCTGTATTATTCTTATTTCAGTGCAGCCCTTGAGCTGTATTAAACCTATTGCCTTGAAGACACAGGCTTTATTACAAAAGCCTCAGACAACGAATTATCATTCGTGTATCAATGTGGCAAACACAGTCAACAAACAGTATGCTGCCCTGTATTAGCAACACCATAACCAGCAGACTGATAGGAGCAACTACTCTTCCCTATTCAGCAATTTGTGAAACCATATTTGGGGTACTGTGTCCAGTTTGGGGATCCCAGTAAGACACAGAAATTAACATACCACAGCAAACCCAGTGGAAAGCTTCCAAGATGGAGCATATGATGTACAAGTTGAAACTGAAAGAAATGGGTTTGTTCAAGCTTAAGTAGAAATGGCTACAGGAAGGATGATTTTTTTTTTTTTTTTTACTGTCTTCAACTATGTAGTAGAAGTGTATAGAGAAGATGAACACTTGGAGTTACACTGAGAAAAGACACAAGGCAATGAACACAAGGTGCAAGACAGGAAATTATGATTACATATTACAATTTTCTCACAGTTGTCAAACACTGGAACAGGTTTCCCAGAGAGACTGCAGAATCTCCATCCCTGGAGTTATTCAGAACTCAACTGGACACAGCCCTGAGCAATCCGATCTAGTAGGATCTGCTTTCAGCAGAAAGTTGGATCAGATGACCTCCAGAGGTCCCTGCCAATCTAAATTATTCTATGACCAAACAGCAGGTCTTTAGAGATACCACAACTGCCACAGATGTCAGGAACAAAGAATATTAGCTCAAAGGCTGTGCCTGTATCTATGGGCTCAGCACCTGGAAGCACTGACAACCCTTTATCTTGCTGACAGTATTTTCAGCTCTTTCCTCTGTTTCTGCACAAGTCCAAAGAGTGATACCACTCTATTAGGAAAATTATTTCCTAATAAAAGAATAAGAAATAGACTGATATCAAACTGTGAGCTGAAACCAATGGAGGTGTTTCCAAGTTCCACCTAGCCTGCACAGCTGCCCATTGGTTAGGATTGCCAGAGAAGTAATAAAGTGTTAATAGGAGAAGCAGAAGACAAGAAGAGAGAAAACAGTAGCTGTTTTTCCCTCCTCAATCTCATTCCACCCTTCAGGATTTCTAGTTACCGATGTCAAAGACAGACTGCATCTTCCCTGATCACTGCACTGTTCCATAACCAGTTCTTATGAGCACTACAAAGGTCATCATGTCCAAGCTAGACTGCAATTGACTACAATATTGAAAGCTCTAAGGTACTCTTCCACCCAATCTGGTACAGGTTCTCTGCTGGAGTCAGACAGAGAGGAATAACCTAGAGACAAGCAAGAGATCATTCTCTGAGACCAGTTATGCTGTCCAATATGATTTCAATTACAATGCTGATAGAAAATTGGAAAAGCAAAGAAAAAAAATCTCTGGCAATACTCAAGATTGGTTCAGCGATGAAATAAGATCGGGAAATACTCTCTCTTGGTCACCTTTACCTTGCTACTCTGTCTTACTCGCCTCATCTTTGGATCCTTTCCACGGCGTGAACTTGAATCTAAACATGTGTTCTGAATTGCTGTCAGCACCAGACGACGACTGTTCAAGTCCCTTTTATCAGTACTATTACCTACAACACTGAAAAAGAACATATCTGTGCCAAAGATTCCTGCTCTCAGCTAGCGTCTTCAGTCTCTAACTGCAGTATACATGGGTCTTTCTAACTTCCAGTGAAGTTTTAGAATCACAGGTCATCTTCATCAACTAATTCAAAACCAGCAACTTGAGTTTGTATCTTTTCATTTCACATACCAGAGTAGGTATGAGGATAAGTTTCTATTTCCCAACGAACTAATGTTCTGCGAGGCCTCTACAAAAAAAAAGTGATATACAGGTAACTGTTGTGAAAAAAACATTTAAATATTAGACAGAAATAATTAAAGACCTTAAATAAGTAATTAAGACTTTTCCCCTCTAAACAAATTGTCAGTATTCCAAATTTACTCAAACTGCATTTGTCACAAAATCTTCAATTTCACTAAAAAACACAGTAACTCTATTTTCTAATTAGCATGAAGGACAGAAGAAATGAGATCATGACCTCTTTGACAGTTCTCCCAGTGCTACGAGCTTACTTGTGCAGACATCTCCTCCCTTTGATAAGCTATGAACTGCTTGCTAGGAGGAAATTCCACTCTATTAGCCCATAAGAATTCAAATTTTCACTCAGCTTTGACATCTCAGGAAGCCATTCTGCTACATCTTCCCCCTCCCATCTTCCAGTACACTGCTGCTCCATAAAACACTTTGGAGTCCACCTTCTCCCTCTCTTTCAGTTCCTTTGACCATCAGGAGATAAACCAGCCAGGGAGCAGCTCCAGTTTCTTATACCACCATCAGAACTTTCCTCCTCTCTGCCACTGTGCCTTGTAGCTTGTTGAGGAAGAAAGCGTTCGTAGGAACCAAGTATCTTCACTGAAACACGTCTATATACAAATTATGACAGATCCCAACCATTTACAACTTAACTGCAGAATGTATTTCACAAAAAGCTGCTAACAGATAAGGTGTCTGAACTTCCATAAGTAATGTTAAGCCCTCCTCCTCTCCACACACTATCAGCTTTGATTTAGATACACCTATTCCACCACACACCACGGAAAGGAACAAGCACACATTGCAGTATGCAAATGGCAGGAGCACACAGCAAAGGATTATTAGATGAATCATCTGCGTATGAACTTGGAGGGTGGAACGTTACTGAGTTTTTTGCAAATCTGCTATTCTTACCACTTACATTTTCCCCAGGAATACTGCCAGGATGCCTATTGGTTTTAACATAGTATTTGAGCTTCTTTCTCTCATTTTACACAGTGACATTTCCAGGAGCAAATTCCTGGGAAATCAGCATCACATCTGCAAGCTGACAGGCTTAGCTTACCTGGCAAATTTTCCTATTCCCCTTTCCTTTACCGTTTTCTAGATTCCCTCCCCCAATAAGACCAGTACAACACAGTAGCATTTCAGACTGGATCCAAGAAGTGCCATAGAAAAAGAGTAAGCCCAATATTGCAGGGTTTTGATTTGTTGTAGCTGGATGAGTTCACACCACAACTGCATACAAAGTTAGGGCAGCACACTATTAGACAGTAGCCTGAAAGAGCCATAATCTCACAAACTCGTGTAACTACTTAAGATTTTTGTATCGTTAAACCACACTTGAAAAGGCTAAACATAGTATATATGTCTGAGATAGCAAAAGAGACCAGTTTAAGTATTATTTTTTCCCTTAAGGTTGATCAGACCTAAATAAACTACCCCAAAAATTCCTTTGGTGTGTACTGTTGATTTCATTTCACTTGTGGTACAAAGGAAACCTGACAGACATCTAAACCCCAGTAGCTGAGCAGCAAGATACAGTCAGGAAAGAAAAGTGTCATCACTTAGAGGCTCTGATTCTGAACGAGCTCCTATATAAGCCTTGTTTAGTAAGAAGAGATGTACTTCAAAGAAGTTGAAGAAGAAACATTTAAATAATGAAGTAAAACTCCAGCTGCATACATTATGTAAGATGTTAATAGTTTCACTTACTTACAAAGATGCAGAAACCACACTTTGCTTTCTAAATCATACACCAACTGCTTGCGCTTCAAGTCTGCTGCAATACTGCACTGGTGTCCCATAGAACTAATACGCCCAAATGGACCCTAGCAGCATCATTCGCTCACTTGCAAGACGAAATTACACCCCTTTCAGTGGGGAAACACTGACAGACAAGAAACTCAACTCCAACCCATGATATATTCCCTAGTATTTTTTTATGTTTATTTGAACTGTAATAATAATTGACAGGCACGTCAATATTTTATGAAGTGCTATAAGCATGGGAGAAATAACTGCACCTTGAAAGGGCTTACAAGCTGAATAGAAGACTGTGAAGAAAGATTTATGTAAACAGCATAAAGACACCAGTCAACAGGAAACAGTTCCTGCAGATTCAGTGGCCAAATCAATGTGGACATTTTGTGCAATGACTGCAGTGAGGAGTTTTAAGCACTGAGAACAAAGAGCGATATGGTTTTACAGGTATTTAAGTAGCACCTGATAAGCACGGAGAAGCTCAGGAGAAAGTGTCAACGTTCCCTGGAAAAAAAGGAAAACACTGCCTAACCAGTAGACACCCAACACGTTGAAACACCACAGAGCACCACACGGGATACCGCTTGCCTTAGCTCAGGGCATCAGACTGACCAGTTCTGAAAGGATGACCCAGTGATAAAAAGCCTGATGGTCTCCCAGAAACAGCAGAAGAGCAAAGTAAGGAGAACAGCACAATTTTTTTTGTCAGACCCAGACTTCCACAGTTATTTGACATAGCTTTTCTTAAGAGAAACTGTGTATCTCCCTTCTGAAGTGGCTCCTTCAGAAGTGGAAGTTAACAAACTGCAAAACCTGTGAAGAGCGATCCCACTGACATAAGTAAACGTCCTATATTCAAAATTGGTTCTTAACTCCTGTTCAGTCATGCTTTATTATTAACACAGTTACTAATGATTTAAAAGACGAATGCGTTCAAATTACTCCAGCAGGCAGTTTTGCAGCTCTTTCCCGGATTCTGCCATTAATTTATAACACGACGAAGCGGTGAGCTGCTTTTTTGCCTCACTTTTCCGGCCTGGGAAGCAAGAGCAGCATTTACCTACCTCGCGATGGCAGATGAATCTTCTAGAGCATTTGCAATCAACAGAACAAAGATGCGCGATTAACACACGTTACCGCCGCCGCGCCGGCCCT